TTTCCATAGCCTGAAGAGTATCTTCTCAGGCCAAAGAGACTAAAACACAGGGGTGAAGACTCCATGCCTGCACCAGCTCGACCTCTCAATGAGTTCAATGAGCTGTGTGGATGCTGTCCTTGCAATGGGGCTCTTCTGTCAGATTTCAGAGAGCAACCTTCTGTACTAACAACAACTTGGATTGTTTAGGGATCTTCATGAAATCCCCTCGGTCAACTACCGAATGGAACCTAGTTCCACCACTAGAAGCCTTTTCTGGCTACAAAAGATGGCCGGTTCAGACTCTGTATCCTCCTTTACTAGGAGTCCTCACTAGGTCAGGAAGATTCCACTGCACTAGGTTTCCACATTGCTCCTCAGATGCTCCCCAATTCCAGCTGTCTCTCCCTGTCCTCCCTCTATTCTATCTCCCCTCCAACCTGATCCCTTTGCATTCCACCTGCAAAATTTATTCTAGTTCCCCTTCCCAGGGAGGGACCTGTGTCGTCCCCCCCCCCCACAGAGCTCACCTTTTTACCTAACCTGTGTCTGTAGATTGTAGCCTGATTATTACTTATTTAATAGCTGATATCCGCTTATAAACGAAAATAGACCTATTTGTCTTTCTGGGTCTAGGCTACCTCACTCAGGATAATTTTTTTTCTAATTGCATCCATTTGCCTGAAAATTTCATGATGTCATTACTTTTAACAGCTGAGTAGTAAATACTCCATTGTGTAAATGAACCACATTTTCTTTTTCCGTTCTTCAGTCAAGGGGCATCTAGGTTGTTTCCAGTTTTTGAATATTATAAATAAAGTCATCAGGAACTTGTCCTTGTGGTAGGATGGAATGTATTTTGGGTATATCTGGGTCTTACATAGATTGCTTCCCAATTTTCTGAGGAACCACCATATTGACTTCCATAGTGTCTGCACAAGTTTGCACCCCCACCAGCAATGGAGGAGTGTTCCCCCTTGTTCTACATCTTCAACAGCGTAAGTTTTCACTTCTGTTATTGATCTTAGCCATTCTGACAAGAGTAAGATGGAATCTCAAAGTAGTTTTTATTTGTATTTCCCTGATGGCTAAGTATTTCTTAGCCATATGTGATTCCTCTATTGAGAATTCTCTGTTCATATCTGTACCCCATTTTTAATTGGATTATTTGTTTTTTATATCTAATTTCTTGAGTTCTTTATATATTTTGGATATTAAACCTCTACCAAATATGGAGTTGGTAAAAAAAAAAAACCTTCCCATTCCTCTTTGTCCTATTAACAATATCCTTTGCCTTACAGAAGTTTTTCAGTTTTATGAGGTCCATTTATTGTTGACATTAGTGTCTCCACTATTTGTATTCTGTTCAGAAAGTTGTCTCCTGGGCCAGAGCATTTACGGCCATTCCCCACTGTTTCGTCTATCAGATTCAGGTTGTCTGGTTTCATATTGATGTCTTTGATCCACTTGGATTTGAGTTTTGTGCATGGTGATGAGTGTGGATCTATTTACATTTTTCTCATGCAGACATCCAGTCAGATCAGCAACATTTTTTGAAGAAGCTTTCTATTTTCCTGTGTGTATTTTCTGGCTTCTTTATAAAAAAAAATCAGGTATACATAGCTGTGTGAATTAATTTCTAGGTCTTCAATTCGATTCCATTGATCACCCAGTCTGCTTCTATGCCTATCAGGCAGTTTTTTATGACTATAGCTCAACACAGCTTGAAATTAGGGATGGTGATACCTTTGAAGAGCCCAGGTCCTTGCCCAAACCCATGCCATGACAGCCTGCAGAAAAGACCCAGCAGGATATAACAGGATGTATAGTTACCCTGACCTCACCCTTGCTATTGGGGGTCAACTACCTGATATGCTCCACACGGTAAAGAAGCATTCAGAAGTTAGCAGGTGGGCTCTGGGTGTGCCTTACTGATAAGGAAAAATTTGGCAACCATAGTAACGGCCCCCAAATGTAACAACCTTTCCACAGCTGCAGCTGACCAATTAACTCAGAACAGGTACCCCATCCCAAAGGTGCACTAATCCTGAGACTGTCACTATGCAGCTTGCTGACCCCCAGACCCCCTTTTGCCTGACCCCTATATAAGCTTTGTTCTCCTG